TGATTTAAAAATACTTACTTGGTACATCTTTCGGTATTATCTCAGAAATTAACATCCTATAGGCATTAAAAAATGTATTTTAATATAACATTTTACAGGACACAGGACCCTGATTAAACATCCAGTTTTAAGTCCACAGTCCTGCATTAGTCAACTGATTCGAGTTTGAGAGCAGAACACGGTTTAAGTTTGAAACATAGTTCCCATGAACCTAGTTTTGTTTAATCATCAGTAAGATTACATGGATCAGTAAAGGTACAGAGGATGCCAGACCAAAATGAACAAAATCCGGAGTTCAAAAACTTTATTGACCTGTTACCTGATTAGACCGTTGGATGATAACCAGTATTGTACAGAAAGGTTTTCTGCTCCGCATAAAAAACTTTACATCGCTGTACCGTATACATGTTGCCATTGGTCTCCGCTGAGACCAGGAATGCTTGGGACTGATCCGACACGTCACCACAGAGACCGGAGCACACGAACATCCGTAACATCTACACGTCCACCACCCTCAAGCCAGAAACTGGTCAGCTCGTAACATCTCATACACAGACGGTAAAACCAAGACTGAACACGTCGGTAACGGTTTAGATGCAGTTTCCATTAATCTGCAGTGTTTATTTTAGTTCCAGTTTCAAGAGGATCAGTCATTGGCTCCATCCCCATTTAAATAAAAGCCTGTACATATAAAACGGAATAAATTTTACTATTTCTTCATCAGTTAGCATCTTATAAACCGATCGCATGGCCCAGTGGATATCCCAGCTGGCCTAGAGTTAAGTTAAGCATTCTCACAAAGTCCCCAGTGCATCCTGTAAATAAACCAAGTGCAGCAAATTCAGTGGGAGAAAACAGAACAAAAAAAACAAACAAAATTATTGCAGGAACAATGTCTAGTGTTAGAAGATAATATGTACATTACAAAGCTGCATTTCCATAACTAGTTATCTGAAGGGCTGTTGATTACATTACATTAGCCTTCGGCTGTGCAAAAAAAATCAAGTCACAAACATTACTTTCTATTGTATTACTTTGCTCTTTTCTGAATTTTTTTTCTTTGAATCCATATCATTCTTCAGACAGCTGTAATGCCAGGAGGTGAGAAGGATGATTCAGTCTTTCCAAACACCAGGCATCTGAACATTCAGAAAGTTAGAAAGTAAATGTAATAATTATAACCATCAGTACAATCCTGTGGAGTTTCGTTATCCTGTACAAGGCGAGGCCCAAATTCCAGTGATAGACTGTGGTCAGCTGGCCACGCTGGGGGGGGGGGGGATCAGCAGCAGATATGTGCAGAACAGACGACCCCCAAATACCTTCCAGTACCATTAGTGGGGTCTGCTGTGGAACTGCTGCCTGAATGGTGGTGGTGGGGGGGGGTGGTTCACATCAATTCAAAACATCCCTGACATCCTAGAGGACGGGGACATGACAGACCATTATGGACGGGGGATGAGGGACAGGGCGGCGGGGGTCAGACCGGAGCCCCGCCCCTCACACACACCCACTCTCTCCTGTGCCCTGCCCCGTGCGCCGCCTTTAGGGAGGGGCCCTCACAGGCTGCCCACCGCCGGCTCCTGCGTGGACGGCTGCGAGATGTTGAAGACGATGCCGATCCGCAAGTAGAACTTGCGCAGCGCAGCCCGCAGCTCCGGGATCAGGTCAAACTGCATGATCTCGCAGAGCAGCGGGTAGTACCTGGAGGCGTGGGCCCGGAACTGCAGTGGGGAGAGCAACAGCATGTCTGTCCCCGGGCTGAACGTCATGGGGGGGGCACTGCTCCGCAGTGAGCAGCAGTGGGGTTACCGAACCGACGGCTGTCAGCAATGTAACAGTGTTTCCCAACCCGGGCCTTGGGGAGACGGTCCATGGTTTTGTTCCATCCCAGCTCTCTGCCAGACAGTCCACCTTTTTGCTTCCTCCCAGCTTCTCAGGAGCACGGAGGGAGCAAAAGGTTGGACTGTCTGCAGGTCCCCAAGGACTGGATTGGGAAACAATGACATGACATCAAATACCATGAGCTCAAATGCCAGGTCCCAGAGCAGGACAGCAAACATTGTCAGGTGTGGAGCAGACCAAATGGCCAGCATACTCACCCTGTCATCGCTGATCTTCAGCACCTTGGTGAGGAAGAGGAGTAGCAGGTTGGTCCAGGCCTCGCGGTGGCTCTCCGACGTCAGGCTCAGGAAGTAGCCAATAGCCTCACTGCACACGCTGCAAGACAGCAGAGACAGCATCCCTAAGAGTGACGGAGTGCATCCACACTGATGAAGTCAAACTCCTAGTGAAAGCTGAGGACGCCAAACGGCACCTCCTCATGGATATACAGACGCTCCTCTACTTACGAACGAGATACGAACATTTCAAGTTACGAACGGCCATTCAGAACGTAAGTCGTTATTCAACATCATTTTAAGGGTATACGCAAGTACAAAGAACTAGGATGCTGGGAGTATGCATGCTACGCTGCTTCCGCTAGGCGGAATTGGTGCACAGAAAAAAAACATTGATGTTGCGGACAGGAAACTGGAGCCCAATGAACACAATTTGGACTTACAGTCCTCTTCGTATGTCTGAAAGTTCGTAAGTAGAGGAGCATTTGTACTGCAAAAAACACTGAAAAATCGGTACCCCATGTGCCAGAGAATATTACGGGAATCTCATTAAAGAGTCCAAATGACGACTAAAAATAGTGGTCGAAAAACTAAATATTTAACACGGGTTCATAAGAGGGTGTGGGTGCGCGTCACTGACAACAGGGGGACAGTGGGTCAGAGGTTGGGGACAGGGATGCAGGCCCATGAGTGGGGGGCCAGGCCCGGGACCTAGGGGCCCGTTTCCCTTACTTCAGCAGCCTCCTTTGCACCTCCTCCCAAGCGGGCCTCCGGCTCTCGTCTGTATACATGCGGAACAAGATGCGCAGGCTGCAGGCCAGGCTGCTGGTCTCCTGCTTCAGCAGGTTGGGCTTCGACTTCCCCTTGAAGCCTGCAATACAGCGACACACGCGCGGGTACACGTCACAGCCTGTAGAGGGCGACGTCGGTCACACGCGTGACGCTCTGTCACAGGCTGCCGCAACCCACCCGCCTTCCACAGAGCCGTCCGCTGCTCGTGGCTGGAGTTGAAGGCCTTGGCGAAGCGGTGAGACTCCAGCAGGCAGTCCAACAGCTTAAAGAGCTGATCTGAGGTCAGATAGCGGTACACACCCTGGTCCTGCGTGTCCACGTGAACGTCAGTGTCCAGCGAATCTCTCTAAGGAGGAAAAGACATGAGCAATGCAGGTTGGGAGCCATCTTAGGAAAACAGCAAATTGTGAAGCTCACAGGGATTAGAGTGGGCTACATCATAGCATGTTAGCACTGGGCGTGTGGCTCAGTGGGCTAAGCCTCTGCGCCTGTGATCAGAAGGTTGCCAGTTCAATCCTGCCTTCAGCAGAACAGTCACATGTCTACTGGCCCTTGAGCAAGGCCCTCAACCCCCATCTCCATGGGGACCACTGCAGGTGGCTGCCCTTCACTGCCAAGTTTGTGCTCACCTACATATGTATCTGTGTATCATGAAGAGCAAGATGGGGTAGTTGAAAAGAGAATTTCCCCACAGGGAACAATAAGAGCGTCATTAATATTATCGAAAACCCTACATGGCCCGTAACCGGTTCCGATCCAGGAGTGAGTCTGATCCTGTAGGGGTCGTGAGGATCATCACCTGGGCCGCTGCAAAGTTCTCCGCATCCTCCTTCTTGCTGGTGGCAGGGAAGAAGATGATGTTGTCGATGGTCTGGATGAGCTCAAGCTGCACCACGCACTTGATGAGGAGCGAGGAGAACAGCTTCTGCTCCTGGAACTCTGTCAGAGGTGGTGCACAGAACAGAGGGCATGAAGCCGGCAGAGCCTCGCCCAGAGCCCGACCTCGGCGCCCCCCGCCCAGGGCCCGACCTCGGCGCCCCCCGCCCTGCTGCAAGTGCCTCCAGCTACTCACTTGTCGGGGTCCTGGCTCTGGGGCCGTCTTCATAAGGGCCTGAGCCCACACTGAATTGACTTTGCCGCCGGGTGTCCAAGGACATCTTCTCCATGCTACCAATGGACTGTTGGTCCTCAGCACGAGCCTGGATGTCCAGGGACTTCTGGGAT